CAATATTTATGAAAATTGTCCTTAACCCTAAATCTGACTATACCCTTAATTTGTGCACTATGGTGGTAGATTTATGCACTAGAATGCATAACCCATGCATGAACACATCTCATATACTTAACGAGCTGAAAAATATTGCTTGAATTCAACTCGTTTACTTTAAATATGAAGTCATCTCAATTATTTATCACGATTGAAAATATTATTTAAGTTCAACTCATTTGCTTCACACATAATCATGTACTTGTAGATTCTAGTCTAAATCGAACCATTTATGAATAGTAACATCTATTTCAAGGACGAATCTATAGTGGGCTTAATGGTGCAGCCGTCCCAGTGAAATATTTTGTTTTTGTATTATATACATCTAAATTTTTAATTTTTTACATTATATACCCATATAATTATAACATTACCCCACTGAAATTACGAAAAAAAGAAAGTCACTATATAAGTTTTCTCTCACATAATTTTCTCAACAAAAACTGCTAGTATCATTTTTGTTTAAAGTGCAGAATTCCTTTGGGACCGACTTAACATCGACTGCGGAGCAACATATCTTCAACCTCCATGGGCAAATGATGAAAAGTTCATAAAAAAAATGGACAAAACATGCTAATCAACAACTATAATAGCATCTCAAAGCCACCGACCTTTGATCTCCACATCAATGGTCAGTGTTGGACAACCATCAATAGTACTTTAAGCAATCACCCAATTTATGTGGAAATGATTTACCCAACAAAGAGGGACAAAGTTCAAATATGCTTGGTTCGAATTGGCAACAATGACCCATTCATTTCTTCTCTAGAATGGAGGTGTTCACTTCAGTGGACTTGTCAAGAGCTGAATTTGCCCATCACTATTCTATTATGGTTCTAGCTTTGCTGGGGCTTTCTATGTTGTTTCGATAAAAGTTTCATTTTGAGCTAGAAGCTGGGGACTGCTAAATGTTTATGGCACATAGATAATAATATTCCTACTCGATCCTATTACTGTGTGTGTTTTCCATGTAATGTAGCGGCAGAGACAATACTTCAGTTTTGAAGGGCTTAACAATAACAACAGGAAGACAAGGCAAGACAGTTTTCTTGTTTTGAGTCGAAAAACTATTCTTTAAAATGAATATATATAGTCTATTATAGCTAGCACTTTGGTGGTATACAAAAATTTACAGCTGACCATACGAGGGGGATGTGCTAAAATGATATTGTTCGTTTCAACAGAGCTCCTATTGGAATGTTCTTTATGGCACATCTCAAATGTGATCTATTGTCACCGTTGCAAGAGTTGTCCCTAAATCTTACCACTAAAGCATGTAAATGAAAAAGGTGCAAACGAAAAAGATGGTTAGATGGTTAATTTAGACAATAATACCAACACCTATGACCTAACAGTATCAGGCTTTTACTTTCTAAAGGAAAGTCAGGAGTTCGAATCTTAGTGGAGGCAGTGTGTGTGAGTCCCAACTAAGAAAAAAATAAAAAATAAAAATAAAAAATTAGACAATAATTAGTGTTTTACCACTTGTCAGACATGAATTGCAGCATTAATTTCGTCATCAATGTTTTTTTTTTTTTCAAGGTGAGTACTCACACACTTTTATCCATACCAAGGCTCGAATCCCTTCCCTCCTCTATGAGAATGGAAGGTTATTTCATTAGGCTAGAGGCCCTTTTCACCATAGCTATATATATATATATTGTTTTTTTCCCATGAGGTAAGATTGTATTGAAAGAACAATAACTGTAAAAGCATGACGAGGCAGCAGCCAGCAAGCTGCAAGGCAAAATACAACCAAACACAGCAATACAACAAATTAAAATCATATATATATATATATATATATATATATATATATATGATTGTTATTCCAATACATAAGAATTAACTTGATTCAGCATCCAATGGCCGGCCAACATGATAAATTAAATGTAACACCACGTGGTTTTGTGCTGTATGCAACTGTGATATTGATCATATTTATATGTGGATATATATATGTTCCATGGACTACCGCATAGAAGGAGTAATCGGTCCATCACAGTTAATTTCCTGCATTTCTTAAGCTCCTCTGGCTACTTCTGTTTGAACATTCCCTCTCTCTCTCTCCACGGTGAAGGCACAACGGAAGCATTTAAAAATTTTCAGGATCAAATCCAGGTGATTTTTCATCAATCAAGAAATACTGTGAAGGGATCTCATACCTTTTTGACGATTGATTAATCGTCAACGGTCCGAGAAAACCAGTGAATTTGATTGCTCCTCTTTTTCCCTTGAACACCAATGAGTCTTCACCTTTATGACCCCAATGTAGGTTTGTGGAACCCTAACCTTTTCTCTCACTCTCTTTATTCTGGATAGTGTACGATACCATATTTTGTATGGATATCTCGCAGAATATATGATTGAGAGAATCGGTTAAAAAAGTCTAGGCCTAGAGATGAGGATCTAAGAGGGCTTCCTTATCCTAGCTCCAATTGGATAGATAGAGTTATCTAATAACTCTATCCTATCCAATTAATTACAATAAGCACCACAATAGTATTGTAATTGCACTCTAAGATTTAGAAATTACGACAAGGCCCTGTCTACTAAATAATTACATATAAGTAATTCCACTACCGAATATCCATAAGTAGCCCCAGGAAAATAAATACTGTCCCACCTATGGCTTACTTATATTTTATATTCCTTGAGTAACCAATTTAATCATTATGATCATTGAATTTCTTTTATAAAAGAATTTTTCAAAATAAATATTTTTCAAAATAAATAATAGAAAAATAATTTAGTAAACATTTTACTAAAATGCCCTGGTCAGGTTCCAGTGATCAAACTTATTAAATTGCATCAAGGGGATATTCTAACTCTTATAGAGTATGGATTCCATTTGTGTTCTCAGAGCTCCAATATTAGCCACCCAAGATACCATGGTATTGACCTTAAAAGATCTCACATGTTGGTAAGTCAAAGTGACCAATATTGAAACTTGAGTCCACTAAACCTCTCAGGATTTAGAGCTTAATGTATCTAGTAGATAAGAAACACACCAAAATAATAACAGTAATTAGTATGGTGTGATCTTATGGTGATCCAATTCAGTGTACTCTAAGCACACTAACACACTGCCTTAGAGTCAACTACCCCAATGGTCGAGACAAACCATCCTATCTTATAGAGGTCAAATGTGTTACAGTTGAAGATGCAAGAGATTAACTCACCTTTCTCTCTCTATAATTCTTACACTTCAACAAAATGAAAACTCCAAAAACCCTCATCTTCTCTCTACTCGGATGGTTTATTTATAGACCACTACAAATATTCTAACCAACTTATTACATAGGGTTCTTATTCTAAGGCCTTCTTCCTTTTGGGCCTGACTATATAAGCCTCAGACATTGGGCCTAACTCTCAGTGTTGCGTTATGGGCTGAGTTCAACTGTTCGGTCCGATCCTTCTTTCGTGGGTGTTGGGCTCATTACGCTACCCTTTTTGCTTGGGCTCGGACCTACCATTCAACCTGATGCTTTACTCGCGGGTCGGGTCTGGTCCAATCCATCTTTGATATCCTCAATTGCCCCCATAATTACCCCCTAATAAATAAGGGGGTAATTATTATCGGCGGCCAATCATGATGTTGACGGCTCAAGAAGACCTCGTGGGAAAATGGACGGTCGGATCTAAAACCGATGCTTTGAGATTCCAAAGAAACTCCTCGTTTTCCTGACGCTTCGACCTTCGGGCCCACTCTGTCCTTATAAGTATCAGAGACGTTCCCTCAAACCTTTTTTACTGTCTCTATCTTGCATCGCTGTTAGCCAAATCTTCGCTTGCCTCTCTTTCTTTTTAGTCAAATCAAATCAAATCAAATTTTCTCCGGCGAACCTCTACGAAAGCTCCTTTTTCCAGCGATCTTGTAGTAATCTACGTTTTCTTCTTCTGAGGTTAGTTTCGTTTGCCTTTTTCTTTTGGAAGATCACTTTTTCTCCCTTAAAATCCTCATTCGTTTTCACCATGCCTGTAGATCTAGATGTTCTTCGCATGAAACTTCATTTCCCTGTCGATATAGAAATTAGAAACTGTAATACCCCTAATTTTTGAAAGGATAGTCTCGGTAATTTGTTTAATTGTTTTCTGTTTATTAATTATTTTTGGTTCATTAATTTGTTTAATTGTTTTCTGTTCAGTGTTATTTGACATTAATTTGTTTAATTGTTTTCTGTTCAGTGTTATTTGAATTAATTAGTTAGTTTATTTGTTTTCTTTGGGTTAATTAATTATTTGCATTCTCTACATTAATTGGAATTTTTATTTGTTTCTTTAATTGAATTAGTAGTTAACTTGGACTTTTTTTTTTGTTAAATTAGTAATTACATGTTTTATTTTGTTTGTGACTAGGTAAAAAAAAAAAGTGTGGTTAGGGTTTTAGTTCTGTTTAGGTTTAGGGTTATTTAAGGAGCCGACAAGGTTTATAACCTAGGTTGAGTTTATGGGCCTCGTTTCAGACTGTAGGTATAATTGGACTTAGGGTTTTGGTTGCCTATAAATATATAAGATAAGTCTGCTTAGGGAACAAAATAATACAACCAAAACACGTCTGTGGAATTAGAAACGAGGAACAGAGGAAGTTGCAGTAGGAGTCGCCGACGAGTGTAGACGACAACGTAGAGATTTTAACAAAAATCTCACAAGGCAAGTTCTAACCTTACTCTCTCCCTTATACTCGTGTTCTTTGCATACTCAATGGTTCCAGGATGAATTACAGGTTTAAAAATAAAAGACGTTGTCTGTGTCATGCCTAGAGTGTAACTGAAACTGATTTTGGGTTTAAAACTTGTAAACTGTTAAACTTTGAACTGTCCTATTTAATTCTTAGTTTAATCCATATTAGTAGCATAATAAGGACTGAGTTAAGGACTGGAATCTCCTAGGATTAATTGAAACTCTCTGAAAACCTCTACTGTGAAGTGTGGGAGGCGTAAACGGCAACCGGAGAGGAGAACACGAAGAAGAGGAGGGAGAGAGCCGGCTCCTATTGGATTGGAGCCGGCTCCCCTTGGACTGGAGGCGGCTCCAATGGTCTAGGAGCCGGCTCCAGGGCCATTGGAGGCGGCTCCAATATTCTGGAGCCGGCTCCCGGTTGTTTATGCGTGAGTTTTGATTCTGTGGGTTGTTTTTCCAAATTTTTTTCAGTGATTAGGCTTCCTTGTGATTGTTTTAATGTGTTTATTGGTGAATGAATACTGTAATGGGTGATTTAGGAGTGGTCTAGGGTAAACATAAATATGCAAAGACCAGATTATATAAAATTGGACACAAAGCGTTAACCATTAGGATTACATGGAGTTAATTACGAAGGTCTTGTAGACTGTGTAGATTTGGAGTTTCTAATTTCTTAATTATATTAGAAATTTTCTGTGAGAGCTTGTCCACTCGAATTATATGTTCATGACAATAGAAACTATGCTAAAAATTTATATTTCACTGAAAATTAGTTGATGATTAAATTTAACGGTTGGTGCGGCAAGTTGTTGGACAGGAAACGATAAGTATAATAGATTACTTACATTTATTCTGCATGCTATGGATGTGAGTGGGAAAATATCTATTTAGGCTCTGTTAATTCTATGGAAACTGGGAATAGGTTATCATTATAAAGAAAGCCCTGTATGATCAAATTATGGATTCTGAATTGGCTTACTTAAGCATGTTTGTTAATCTGTTCTAACATGTTTAGTTTGGACTGTTGGTATTGACATTTATATGGTCATTATTTTGTCAACTGTGCATGTAAATAAGCATGTTGATTATCTATTTCAAGATGCATAGTAAGGAGTAGTTGACATTGATATTTATATTTTCAATATGAATCAATTATTGGTATTTTTAAGAATGGTTGCTAATGCATTCTATTATGTTTAGTATGGAATTGTTGATATTGTTGTTATAATTATCGATGCTTTATCAACTATTGGACGGATTGGATTGTATATACCGGTATGGGACGGTGACATACTGGGTTGGATTAGCTCAAATTGCTAAGTCCTACCTATTTTGGAGTAAGGGCACGGGTTATAAACTACAATCCTCCTTATATATAAGTCGGTACGGTTGACTACGCCGAGTGACTTACTGGATTTCTGGTGGATGGATAGAAACGGAGTTTAGATATATTTTTATGTTACCGTGTCATGAGCTTGAGTCTCAGGGTCGACGGTTAGGGTGCGTATATGCAGTTGGATGTGTAGCTGACTGTGAAGGTTGAGGTATACCCTGTTTAGGTTTAGGTACTCATACCCACTCAGGTGCGTATTGTGTGATGCCTTCTATCCAGGTTGAGACCCCCTTCATGGCCTAGCGAGAGTCCAGTAGTGTGGATATATTTACGTACGGATTATTAGTTATTGTTGAACTATTTAGTATGTACATGCGTATCGAGTCTCTGCTTGGATTGTAGTAGGTTAGAACTTGTTCGTGGGCCTGACCCACCCCTATTTTTCAGGTGTACGTCAGTTCCAGGCTTGAGCTTGTTCGTGCAGAGCAGAGACGATCTTCCATTCTACCGAAGATGTAGGGTTTCTTTCCAGATCTTGGATTTGGGTTTTATCTTTTATTTTACTTTCATTTAGTGTGAGACTTTTATTAGGGGTCCACTAGAGATGGATTCCCGAGTTGTTCAAATTATGGATATTTGGTTTATCAAATTTAAGTATTTAATTATTTAAGGATTATCTTTTAGTTTCTTTTCAGCTTTAAACTTTCATTTCTTAAGTCATTTTGTATTCTGTGTTCGCTATAAAATATTAATTGTTTGATACTCCCTCGGGTTTGGGCCTGGGCCTGATCAACCCGTGTCTCGGATCCGAGGGGTATCACAGTTGGTATCAGAGCACTCCAGGTTCAAGTGTCTCTAGGATGTTTTCGTATTAAGTCTTCCGCGTAGCGTTCTCTTGAATAGAGCTTAAGTTAGGATTCATTGTATTCCTTATGGTTCGTATAGCAATAGTACTGATGTCTGTCTTTTCGTGTTAACAGATGGTTAACGCTAGAAATGGACAGAACATGCAAGGAACTAGGAAGGAAAGGAGAGCGGCACGTAGGCAACAATATCTCCTACAGCGTCAGCAAATGGAAGAAGAGCAGCAAATGCCAGGGTTTCAGGAGGAGCAGGAGGAAGTTCAACAGACTCAGGGTCGGGACAGAGATCCAGAGATTCCTCCTCACCTAAATGACCTCGTTGCTCGGGCTATAGAGGCTGGGGTAACAGCTGCACTCCGGAACCAACCACAGGTTCAGCAGGCACCTGTACCAGCACCAGTGGTTCAGACGGATTCTTGGGGAAAGGCTAAGAGCGCTTTCACAAAGGGGAGTCCACCTGTGTTCTCAGGCTCAACCGATGCGAGAGCAGCTCACCAGTGGAAACAGGACATTGAGCGTCATCTTCGTTTGGTTCAGTGCACGGAGGTTCAGAAGCAGATGCTTGCTACTTTCAAGTTAGTTGGGGATGCACTACAGTGGTGGGAGTCAGTTACCACCTCAGATGAGAGGATGACATTGTCTTATGATGAGTTCAGTGCTCGCTTTGATGAGAAATATTTTCCCTATGCAGTCAGGGCAGCTATGAAGACCGAGTTTCTAAGTCTGCAGCAGGGAAACATGACAGTGGCGGAGTATGAGCAGCAGTTCACACGCTTGTCTCTCTTTGCACCGGAGGAGGTGGATACAGAGGAAAAGAAGCGCAACAGTTTTGTCAAGGGACTGATGTGGTCTATCAAGAGAGCTATTACAGGTAGTCCAGCCTATACTACCTATGCTCAGGTGGTAGACGCTGCTCTACAACAGTATCAGTTGACTGTGGACATCAGACAGGCTCGTGGTGAGAAGCGAGGAGATAAAGACTCTACTAATCAGTCAGCTGAAAAGGGGAATGGCAATGGTCACTGGCAGAATGACAAAGGCAAGTTTCAAGGGCAACAGCCTTGGAAGAAACACAAGGGTGGTTCAGGTGCTCATCGGAATGGGGCACCTATTCAGAGGCAACAGAATGGGGGACCACAGGCAGGACAGGGTCAGCCACAGGCTAACCGACAGAGGAGGCCATTTGGTACTTTCCAGGGTAGTTGTTACACTTGTGGAGAGTATGGTCATACCACCAGGCAGTGTCCTAAAGCAGGACAGGGACAGGGACAGGGACAGTATGTGCAGCAGGGACAGAGGGGGCCAGTGCCTCTACCAGCTCCACAGGTTCCACGGATTCAGGGACAGACACATCTGGCTTTACCGGCACCGCCGCAGACTCAGGGACAGGCGCCACAGCAGTTGCATTATGGCAGGGTGTATAACCCCAAGCCACAGGATGTTCAGGCACCTCAGACTATTGAGGGTAAGTTTCCTATTCATGGTTTACATGGACGTGTTTTATTTGATACGGGTGCTACACACTCATTTGTAGCTAGGACTTTTGTTGCTTTATCTGGGATGAGGACGAGGGTATGTACTAGACCTCAGGGTATTTCTACACCATTGGGTGATACAGCTATTATACATGAGAGTGATGGGCCTGTGACACTAGATATTGGCAGACTCAGATTTCTAGCCAATCTATTGGTCCTGGACATGCACACTTATGACGTGATACTTGGGATGGATTGGTTGTCTCACTACCATGCCCAAGTTGATTGTTTTGATAGATCTATTATTTTTACCATACCTGGTCAGGATATGTACGTAGTAGTTATGCCACGTTCTAAAGGAGGCGGTAGCACCTATTTGTTCCATGTGGAGGAGGAAAAGGATGAGGGGATTACTGTGTCATTGGATAACATACCAATTGTACAGGATTTCCCGGATGTATTTCAGGAGATTCCAGGGTTGCCACCTAGTCGCGAGGTCGATTTTGTGATAGACCTAGCTCCAGGCATTGCGCCTATTGCTAGGGCACCCTATAGGATGGCACCGGTGGAGATGAGAGAGCTGAGGGATCAGATTCAGCAGTTACTCAGCCAGGGTTTTATTCGTAGGAGTACATCACCTTGGGGAGCATCGGTTCTGTTTGTGAAGAAGAAGGATGGTTCGCTTCGTCTATGTATAGATTACAGGGAGTTGGACAAGGTTACGATTCGTAACAAGTATCCTTTGCCCAGGATTGATGACTTGTTTGATCAGTTAAGGGGAGCCACATACTTCTCCAAGATTGATCTGCGTTCTGGGTATCATCAGCTGAGGGTTAGGGAGCAGGATGTTCCTAAGACAGCGTTTCTCACGAGATATGGTTCTTATGAGTTTCGTGTTATGCCGTTTGGGACGACTAATGCACCTGCAGTGTTCATGGATTTAATGAATAGAGTCTTCCGGGCTTATTTGGATCAATTTGTTATTGTCTTTATTGATGACATCTTGATCTATTCTCGGTCGGAGGACGATCATGCTAGACATCTTCGCATAGTCTTGCAGACGCTTCGTGAACACCAGTTGTATGCCAAGTTCGAGAAGTGTGAATTTTGGCAGCGGGAGGTGAAATTTCTGGGTCACGTGGTGTCAGAAAAGGGGATCGCAGTGGATCCGGCCAAGGTTTCGGCGGTGGTTGAGTGGGGACAGCCTACATCACCTACAGAGATTCGGAGTTTTCTCGGTCTGGCAGGATATTACAGGAGATTCATCCAGGGGTTCTCCAAGATAGCAGGACCACTCACTCATCTGACCAAGAAGGGTGTACAGTTCGTGTGGGATGAGCACTGTCAGCGGGCTTTTGATGAGCTGAAAAGGAAGTTGACTTCTGCACCGGTTCTGGCTACTCCGCAAAGCGGGATAGAGTATCTTGTTTACACGGATGCATCGTTGCAGGGTCTTGGATGTGTATTGATGCAGGAGGAGCGACCAATTTCTTATGGATCTCGAAAACTTAAGCCTCATGAGCTTAATTATCCGACACATGATTTGGAATTGGCAGCAGTGGTCTTTGCCTTGCGTATTTGGAGGCATTATCTGTTGGGTGAGTCTTTCAGATTATTCAGTGATCACAAGAGTCTGCAGTACTTGTTCACTCAGCGGGAGCTGAATATGAGACAGCGCAGATGGTTGGAGTTTGTAAAAGACTATCATTTCTCTATACAGTACCATCCAGGGAAAGCGAATGTGGTGGCGGATGCACTCAGTCGCCGACCCGTTGGTAGTCTTTCTGCTCTATTCACTACTGAGTGGAATACTTTGAAGAATGTAGATGAGTTGTCAGATGCTTTTATGGCTTGCATGGTGGTTACACCTTCCATCATTCGCAAGGTTTTACAAGCACAACTCACTGATCAGCAATGTGTCGACAAGGTCACAGAGATAGCTTCCGGAGAGGTTCCATTCTACCATGTTGGGGCTGATGGAGGTTTAAGGTACAAGGGACGGTTAGTGGTACCTTCTGCTGATAATTTGAGGAAGGATGTGATGACTGAGACTCATCACTCTGAGTTCTCTATTCATCCAGGAGGCGATAAGATGTATCAAGATATGAAGCGGCAATTTTGGTGGGCAGGTATGAAGAGGGACATTGCTCTTTTTGTTTCTCAGTGTAGTACTTGTCAGATGGTTAAGATTGATCATCAGAGGCCGCCAGGAGCTCTACAGTCACTACCAATTCCGGAGTGGAAATGGGAGAGCATATCTATGGATTTTGTGGAAGGGTTGCCAAATTCTTTCAAGGGGCATAATTCCATATGGGTCGTTGTGGATAGGTTGACCAAGTCAGCTCATTTCTTGCCTATTTGCACTGACTACACTTCGGAGCAGTTGGCGAGGCTTTACATTTCAGAGATTGTGAAGCTACATGGCATTCCATTGTCTATTATATCGGACAGGGATTCGAGCTTTGTATCTGGATTTTGGAAGAGTTTTCAGCAGGCTTTAGGTACGGAGTTACACCTTAGTACTGCTTATCATCCTCAGACTGACGGACAGACTGAGAGGGTGAATCAGATTATGGAAGATATGCTTCGGTCGTGTGTTCTGGATTTCAAGGGCCACTGGGAGGAATATTTGCCACTTGTGGAGTTTGCTTATAACAATAGTTTCCAGAAGACTATTGGGATGGCACCTTTTGAGGCGTTATACGGTCGACCGTGTCGATCACCTGTTTGTTGGATGGAGGTTGGAGAGAATCGATTCTTAGGTCCTGAGTTCATCAAGGATACCTCTGAAAAGATTGCTCTTATTCGAGATCGCATGCGTACTGCCCAAAGTAGGCAGAAGAGCTATGCTGATCGTCGCACTCGTGCTTTGGAGTTTCAAGTTGGGGATCAGGTTCTTCTTAAAGTATCTCCTATGAGGGGTGTTATGCGTTTTGGGAAGAAAGGGAAGTTGTCTCCGCGGTTTGTCGGTCCATTCATGATTACGGATCGCGTTGGAGCTGTCGCTTATCGGTTGGCACTTCCAGATACTTTGGATCGCGTTCACAACGTATTTCATGTTTCCATGTTGCGGAAATTTCTGCGAGATGAGGATCGATATCAGCATATCGATGTTGGGGAAATTGAGTTGCAACCGGATGCAACTTATTTAGAGCCACCGTGTCGTATTGTCGATCGACGAGATCAGATTCTTCGTAATAAGGTTATTCCTTTGGTTCGTGTTCAGTGGAGTCATCACAATGAGGCTGAGTCTACTTGGGAACGGGAAGATGTCATTCGCTCGCAATTTCCTGATATTTTGGAAGAAGGTAAGAGCGAATTCCGAGGACGGAATTCCTTTTGTTAGGGGGGAAGAATGTAATACCCCTAATTTTTGAAAGGATAGTCTCGGTAATTTGTTTAATTGTTTTCTGTTTATTAATTATTTTTGGTTCATTAATTTGTTTAATTGTTTTCTGTTCAGTGTTATTTGACATTAATTTGTTTAATTGTTTTCTGTTCAGTGTTATTTGAATTAATTAGTTAGTTTATATGTTTTCTTTGGGTTAATTAATTATTTGCATTCTCTACATTAATTGGAATTTTTATTTGTTTCTTTAATTGAATTAGTAGTTAACTTGGACTTTTTTTTTTGTTAAATTAGTAATTACATGTTTTATTTTGTTTGTGACTAGGTAAAAAAAAAAAGTGTGGTTAGGGTTTTAGTTCTGTTTAGGTTTAGGGTTATTTAAGGAGCCGACAAGGTTTATAACCTAGGTTGAGTTTATGGGCCTCGTTTCAGACTGTAGGTATAATTGGACTTAGGGTTTTGGTTGCCTATAAATATATAAGATAAGTCTGCTTAGGGAACAAAATAATACAACCAAAACACGTCTGTGGAATTAGAAACGAGGAACAGAGGAAGTTGCAGTAGGAGTCGCCGGCGAGTGTAGACGACAACGTATAGATTTTAACAAAAATCTCACAAGGCAAGTTCTAACCTTACTCTCTCCCTTATACTCGTGTTCTTTGCATACTCAATGGTTCCAGGATGAATTACAGGTTTAAAAATAAAAGACGTTGTCTGTGTCATGCCTAGAGTGTAACTGAAACTGATTTTGGGTTTAAAACTTGTAAACTGTTAAACTTTGAACTGTCCTATTTAATTCTTGGTTTAATCCATATTAGTAGCATAATAAGGACTGAGTTAAGGACTGGAATCTCCTAGGATTAATTGAAACTCTCTGAAAACCTCTACTGTGAAGTGTGGGAGGCGTAAACGGCGACCGGAGAGGAGAACACGAAGAAGAGGAGGGAGAGAGCCGGCTCCTATTGGATTGGAGCCGGCTCCCCTTGGACTGGAGGCGGCTCCAATGGTCTAGGAGCCGGCTCCAGGGCCATTGGAGGCGGCTCCAATATTCTGGAGCCGGCTCCCGGTTGTTTATGCGTGAGTTTTGATTCTGTGGGTTGTTTTTCCAAATTTTTTTCAGTGATTAGGCTTCCTTGTGATTGTTTTAATGTGTTTATTGGTGAATGAATACTGTAATGGGTGATTTAGGAGTGGTCTAGGGTAAACATAAATATGCAAAGACCAGATTATATAAAATTGGACACAAAGCGTTAACCATTAGGATTACATGGAGTTAATTACGAAGGTCTTGTAGACTGTGTAGATTTGGAGTTTCTAATTTCTTAATTATATTAGAAATTTTCTGTGAGAGCTTGTCCACTCGAATTATATGTTCATGACAATAGAAACTATGCTAAAAATTTATATTTCACTGAAAATTAGTTGATGATTAAATTTAACGGTTGGTGCGGCAAGTTGTTGGACAGGAAACGATAAGTATAATAGATTACTTACATTTATTCTGCATGCTATGGATGTGAGTGGGAAAATATCTATTTAGGCTCTGTTAATTCTATGGAAACTGGGAATAGGTTATCATTATAAAGAAAGCCCTGTATGATCAAATTATGGATTCTGAATTGGCTTACTTAAGCATGTTTGTTAATCTGTTCTAACATGTTTAGTTTGGACTGTTGGTATTGACATTTATATGGTCATTATTTTGTCAACTGTGCATGTAAATAAGCATGTTGATTATCTATTTCAAGATGCATAGTAAGGAGTAGTTGACATTGATATTTATATTTTCAATGTGAATCAATTATTGGTATTTTTAAGAATGGTTGCTAATGCATTCTATTATGTTTAGTATGGAATTGTTGATATTGTTGTTATAATTATCGATGCTTTATCAACTATTGGACGGATTGGATTGTATGTACCGGTATGGGACGGTGACATACTGGGTTGGATTAGCTCAAATTGCTAAGTCCTACCTATTTTGGAGTAAGGGCACGGGTTATAAACTACAATCCTCCTTATATATAAGTCGGTACGGTTGACTACGCCGAGTGACTTACTGGATTTCTGGTGGATGGATAGAAACGGAGTTTAGATATATTTTTATGTTACCGTGTCATGAGCTTGAGTCTCAGGGTCGACGGTTAGGGTGCGTATATGCAGTTGGATGTGTAGCTGACTGTGAAGGTTGAGGTATACCCTGTTTAGGTTTAGGTACTCATACCCACTCAGGTGCGTATTGTGTGATGCCTTCTATCCAGGTTGAGACCCCCTTCATGGCCTAGCGAGAGTCCAGTAGTGTGGATATATTTACGTACGGATTATTAGTTATTGTTGAACGATTTAGTATGTACATGCGTATCGAGTCTCTGCTTGGATTGTAGTAGGTTAGAACTTGTTCGTGGGCCTGACCCACCCCTATTTTTCAGGTGTACGTCAGTTCCAGGCTTGAGCTTGTTCGTGCAGAGCAGAGACGATCTTCCATTCTACCGAAGATGTAGGGTTTCTTTCCAGATCTTGGATTTGGGTTTTATCTTTTATTTTACTTTCATTTAGTGTGAGACTTTTATTAGGGGTCCACTAGAGATGGATTCCCGAGTTGTTCAAATTATGGATATTTGGTTTATCAAATTTAAGTATTTAATTATTTAAGGATTATCTTTTAGTTTCTTTTCAGCTTTAAACTTTCATTTCTTAAGTCATTTTGTATTCTGTGTTCGCTATAAAATATTAATTGTTTGATACTCCCTCGGGTTTGGGCCTGGGCCTGATCAACCCGTGTCTCGGATCCGAGGGGTATCACAGAAACTGCCCTAAAGATGTGGATATCAGGACTGGTGCTGGCCTTCTTCCAGGCGAAGTCTTGTTTACCCATCTTCAGTTGACTATCATTAGGTTCCCTTTGCATCCTTTCTTTAACTATGTTTTCAATAAACTAGGGATCTCCCCTCTGTAAGTAAATCCAAATTTTTTTAGGATCCTATCCGTTCTGCTACTACTGACTCGTGGCAGAGGTCTGGATCTTGATATCATAGATCTTCTTTTCTGTTACAAAGTTTGTAAGATCCACTTGAGGAACCATTCTACCACCTCTACCCGATTGAAAAGATGTCCATATGTAAAGACACAATCAAGTCTGAAAAGGGTTGGAGAAACAACATATAGGGGTTAGGGGGGCCTGGTCTTCTCCAGTTACAGAGGATTATCCAATCCCGAGCACCTTTGGCGTGTGTTTTGCGAAATTTGTGTTCTTCGCTTTTGTACTTTCTTGTGCTGTTCCTTAGGCATTCCTTGTAATGACTTGAGCTACAGGGTTTGCAGGGATAGGGATAATTACTTAAAGAAGTACGTTCTGAACAACGTTCCTTCTTGCTCAGACCTCCTTACCTCAGACAACCTTCTCGCAATTTCAGCCCTCGGCAACGCAATGAACCAGCTCCATATTCCTTCATTTGGCAAGAGGAAGAACCCTTCCCGAGTCACTGTTGCTATTGTTGTGGCAACTTCTTCTCCTGCCTCGGCCTCTTCTTCGACCACTATTTTTGACACCATTCCAAACGTAGTGGCTGTTGATCCTGCCGTTAGCGTTCCTTCTACCAATCCGAACGCATCTCCTCAGGTCAATACTACTTCTGTTGTTACTGCGGGTGCTCAGGATAAAAAGCGAGGCAAAAGGCCTCATCCCAGCAGTGCAGCCAATCTTGATGATGCATCTCTTACAAAGAGGATTCGAATCTCTGGGCCGGGTACACTCTTGCATCGCCCAGTCAGTTCTCCTGCCCCCTCTGGGCTGTTACAGCTACTGCTTCAGCTTCAGCTTCTGTTTTTGCTTCTGCCTCTGCAACAGCACCATGGACTCCTCGATTTGCCCGAACGGATGGGACATTCGTGAAGCCGAACGAGACTATGTTCAAGGATGGTCAGACCGCTATGGCATATTACAGGAGCATGTGGACTCCCAAGGACATTGAAATAGCCAAAGGTTTATCTCAGAAGGAGGTGTTCAGCCGCTTTCCCTTATCTGCCATGGAGGTAATTTTTATCTCCCAATCAGAAAATCTTCACATAATCTTTATGTTTAACCTCTTCTGACCATGCGATCGGTTTAACCAGTGTTCATGCATATCTCTGCAGACCCTGTTCGGTATGATGGCCATGCAAAAGCAGGTGGAAATAGGGAATGCCAAGGTTCGAAAGTTCTCTGACAGCCTCGAAGTGGCCCATAAAGAGAATAACATCCTCGCCACCAAAAACACGGAACTGTTTGTCCAGCTTGGCAAAGTTAAAAAAGAGAGAGACGCTCTGAAAAGGGAAACTGATTCTCTTCAGGATGAAAGGGATGCCCTTCAACTTGAGAAGAGTGTTTGGCAGACCGAGCGCAATTCGCTCAAGGATGAAAAAGCAGAACTCTAGCGCCTTCTGGCTGACGAGCAGTCCGCTCGGATGGCCTTCGAGAAGAGAGCCCTGGAGGAGTGTGGTGCTCTGCTCAACACCATCAGTAAGGTGAATGGTGGTATGTTGGCTCTTCACGCTCGGTTTTCAAGGGTTGGGGCTCTCAGGTATGCTCTCCGACCGTGCTCCTGCTGACGGACAGACCGGTTCTACTCTTGACGAAGTTGATAAGGATCTAGAAATTTATCCTCCAGGAGTCTATGTTGATCCAGACTCCACTCCTGCTGAACACATTTTTGATGAGTGTCAGGAGATTGCTTCCTCCAGGGTCACTACAGCTCCCTTTGTCGTTCAGCCTTTGGATGTTCTTCCTCTGTCCACTATGGTCCCTTCCTCAACCGCCACTGAGATTGGGCCCTAACAGAATGATTCAGTTATTCATCTCGACTCTCTACCTCATGAAGATGGGATGACCAATGAAAGTGAAGAGGCGAGTCAACACAATCAGGAGGCTGACAGAACAGAGGCAGCTAGCTAGGACTCTTCTGATACTTTGATTTCCTGCTTTTTTGTAGTTATGTTATCTGTATACTTTATCTTTTGTAACCTCAGAACATATCATGAATGAGATGACAAAAATATTGACTTTATCTGCGCATGGGTGGTAACAACTAGCTTCACATTTATCTACTTTACTGAAGTGTCTGGCGCTCGACTCATAGTGCCAGCTGCCACTTACTTTTTGTTTTTTGAGCAAGTGCTTGGCGTTCGGCTCATACCGACTGCCACTTACTTTGCTTAAGTGCATGGCACTCGGCTAGAATGCCACTTGCCACTTGGCTATTTTTTTTATTTATTTCTTAGCAAGTGGTTGGCGTTCGGCTCATAGTGCCAGCTGCCACTTACTTTCCTTAAGTGCCTGGCACTCGGTTAGAATGCCACTTGCTACTTCGTTTTTTATTTTTATTTTTTATTTCTTAGCAAGTGTTTGGTGTTCGGCTCATAGTGCCAGCTGCCACTTACTTTGCTTAAGTACCTGGTGCTCAGCTAGAATGCCACTTGCCACTTGGCTTTTTTTATTTTATTTCTTAGCAAGTGTTTGGTGTTCGGCTCATAGTGCCAGCTGCCACTTACTTTGCTTAAGTGCCTGGTGCTTGGCTAGAATGCCACTTGCCACTTGGCTTTTTTTATTTTTATTTTTTATTTCTTAGCAAGTGTTTGGCGTTCGGCTCATAGTGTCAACTACCACTTACTTTGCTTAAGTGTCTGACGCTCAGCTAGAATGCCACTTGCCACTTGATTTTTTTCTTTTTTTTTTTTTCTTTATTTCTTAGCAAGTGTTTGGCGTTCGACTCATAGTGCCAGCTGCCACTTACTTTACTTAAGTGCCTGGCGCTCGGCTAGAATGCCACTTGCCACTTGGCTTTTTTTTTTTTTTTAGCAAGTGTTTGGCGTTCCGCTTATAGTGCCAGCTGCCACTTACTTTGCTATTTTTACTTAATCAATCTCTTGAAGAGGAATATTACTTTTATAAATCTCAGAAACTTGTACATTCGCCTGTATTCAATTGAAAATTAACAAAATTCAAAATTGAAAATCAACTTTTTATTGATAATACCTCTTCAGAGACGTAGCATTCCAAGGCTTGTTAACCAGCCTTCCGGCCATGGTCTCTAAGGTATATGCCCCCTTTCCTATGACTTCTGCAATTCTATATGGACCTTCCCATGGTGGCATCATTTTTTTAACTATCCCCACCTTCTTTTTCAGAACCAAATCACCCGGTGTAAAGTCTCTGTGCTTTACCTTTTTGTTATAGCTATTAACAAACGTCTGCTGGTAGGATGCGAGCCTTACTGCCGCTGCATCTCTCTTTTCCTCTAGCATGTCGAGGTTAAACCTCAACATATTGTCGTTATGCTCTCGGCTCTATGCTAAGCTTCGAACAGTCGGAACCAAGTGTTCGACCGGTATAACTGCCTCGGTACCATACGCCATAGCGGATGGGCTTTCTTTGGTCGGTCGCCTTGGGGTCGTTTTGTAAGCCCATAGGACGTTCGGTAATTCATCTAACCATTTTCCTTTCTTCTCTTCAAGCTTCTTCTTGATACAAACAAAGATTGTTCTATTCGTGATTTCTGCTTGTCCATTGGCCTGGGGGTGACTTACTGCCGCCAGCTTTTGATTAATTCCATATTCCTCCAACAACTCTCTTACTTGCTTGCTGTCAAGGTTGGTCCCATTATCCATGACGATTGAACTCGGAACACCGAATCGGCAAATAATATTACTCCAAATGAACCTTCTCACATGAGTTTGAGTTACGCTTAGGTATGGCTCTACTTCCACCCACTTAGTAAAGTAATCTGTAGCCAGCAACACATACTTGTTCTGAGCTCTTGCAGTTGGCAGAGGACTAACCACATCCATCCCCCATTGTGCGAAAGGCCATGGTGTGGCCATTACGTGCAAGTCCTCAGGTGGTTGGTGAATCAGTGGTCTAAACCTTTTCGCACCTTCTGGACAATTCTTCCGCATCTTGCGACATGTTCGGCCAGAAGTACCCTTGCGTCATTGCTTTGTGCGCTAAAGACCTTCCCCCTGAATGGTTTCCACATACACCTTCATGAATAGCTCGCAGTATCTGCCGAGAAAAAGACCTTCTGTATAACTAGTTATGCACTATGGCATACTTTGCAGCATTCGATTTGATTTTCCTAGCCTCATCTCTTTGCTCAGGCAGAGTACCATCCCTGATGTAAGTTATGATCGGATTAATCCAACTTGGCTCATATAGAATAACATTCATTTGCCAAGGATCTGGGGTCGAAGGTTCTTCAAAAATAGATGGCTGGTTTAATATTCCTACTGGAATCACCCTTACCAATGTTTCTCCAGAACCTGAGGTACTACATGCTAGCCGATCAACATCTTCGTTATGCTTTCTCGGTATTTGGATGAATTCAATTTTTTTTGAAGTTTTTGGTTTCCCGCATAACAGCAGAATGATAGGCCTCCATTGTTTTATCTTTGGTTTCATACTCGCCATTCACCTGCCGAACAACTAACTGTGAGTCACTAAAGACAGTCAAATTCCTGACCTTCAACTCCTTGGCAAGCTTAAGTCCTGCTAGCAGTGCTTCATACTCCGCTTCATTGTTGGTGGTTCTGAATTCAAGCCGGAGCACTTGACTTAAGGACGTACCTTCTGGTGTTTGTAGTTTGATCCTAATGCTTGCCCCCATCTGATTTGAGGATCCATCGACGAAGAGTTTCCACAAGCAACCACGAAGGTCTTCCTCCATGTCTTCCGAATCACATTCGAGTAAAAAGTTTGCCACCGCTTGCCCTTTGACTGCCGTTCTGGGTTCATATGTTATGTCAAATGAGCTTAACTCTATGGCCCACTTCATCATTCTTCCTGAGAGGTCTGGCTTGTGGAGGATTATTCTGATAGGGAAGGTGGTTAGAACGATAATAGGATGGGATTCAAAGTAATGCCTAAGCTTTCTTTTCGCATGCACTAGCGAGAGTATCACCCGCTCAGCCTTTGAATAGCGTCGTTCAGCCTCAGTCATCGTTTTGCTAATATAGAACACTGGATATTGCTTCCCCTCTGGACAATGGATCAGAACGCCACTTGTCGCGATGCTGGACACCCCGAGGTATAAAAATATTTTTTCTCCTGGTTCTGGAGCTGACAGGACTGGAAGGTTCTGCATATATTCCTTCAGACCAGTTAATGCTAGACGCTGTTCATCCCCCCAAACTTGTCTGTCGTGGCTTCGTATTGTGTCAAAAAATGGTTTCCAACGATCTGACAATTTGGAAATGAATCGGCTCAATGCTGCGATCCGTTCGGTAAGTGTTTGCACTTTTTTGACTGTTGTCGGCTCAGCATTCTTAGTCAGAGCTTCTGCTTGGGCTGGGCTAGCTTCTATGCCTCTATGATTAACCATGTGTCCTAGGAATTGACCAGAACTCACGCCGAATGAGCACTTGGTTGGATTGAGCTTCATTCCGTAGTGCCTTAACACATCAAATATGTCTTGTAGATGTTTCAGATGGTCAACTTTCTTCTTACTTTTTACTACCATGTCATCAATGTAAGCTTCCACGGTCTTCCCTATTTGACCCTTGAAAATTTTGCTAATATGTCTTTGGTAAGTTGCTCCGGCGTTCTTCAGTCAGAATGGCATGACTTTATAGCAATAGGTCTCGCGCTCGGTAACGAAAGAAGTTTTCTCTTCATCAGCAGGGTCCATGGGGATCTGATTATAACCTGAATAAGCATCTAAAAAGGTTAAATGCTCATATCCAGTAGTAGTATCCACCATTTGATCAATTTTTGACAGCGGAAAGCTATCCTTCGGACAGGCTTTGTTCAAATTGGTGAAATCAATGCACACTCGCCATTTCCCATTCTTCTTCTGCACAACAACAACATTTGACAACCAGTCAGGATAATGCACTTCTCTTATAAACCCCGCATCAAGTAGCCTGTCAACCTCCTCGGCTATGATCTGGTTATGCTCTGGAGCAAACCTTCGCTGCTTCTGCTTTACAGGTCTTGCATTGGGACTTACGTTCAAGGAGTGACAAGATACGGAAGGATCGATTCCAGGCATGTCTAGGTGGCTCCACGCAAATACATTGGCATTCTGAGACAAGAAATCAACTAACTCCTGTTTCTCCACCACAGCAAGTCGTTCCCCCACTCTGGTTGTTCGTTCTGGTCGGAACTGATCGATCTGTACATCAACCAGGGGTTCTTCGGTCAAGTCCACTGGCTCCTCCTCCCCATTTTGCTTGGGGGGAGGTTCCTGTAATTGCTATCTCGGGCTTGCCGAACGGATGGGTGATTTCCCTTTTTCCAGCATACTTCAGCGTTATTGAATAACATTCCTTAGCTGTAACCTGGTCCCCATGAATGTCGATCACCTTGGATCCGTCTAGCCCCAGGCATCTCATTACTTGATGCAGAGTGGAAGGAACACCTTGAACACTGTGGATCCACCCTCTGCCCATCAGAAGGTTATAAGAGGGATGAATTTTGACAACCACAAAGGTCTCCATCAGAACCCTCTCTGCCGCATGTACTGCTACCTCCACCATACTGATGGGCTCCACTCGTTTTCCATCAAACCCTAGTAGAGGATTCCCGGTAGATTTGAGCCAGGCCGACTTAATCTTGAGCCGATCAAATGTATCCCTTGGCATGACGTTCGCACTACTTCCAGGATCAATCAGAACTCTGCGTACCAAACATTCAGCCACTGTCAAACTGAAGACCAACGGGTCCTCATGAGGGATCTGAACAAGTAATAAATCTGTTCTGTCAAACTTTATCTGTGTTGTTGCGCTCTGTTGGTGCAGAGTGTTTACACTTCCTATCCTTTTCTTCATCCGTGCCTTGCGAAGGCATGTTAGAAGTAGTTCATCTGACTCCTCAGTAGGCTCAGGCCGACCGTGAATTACATTGATTATTCGGACTGGTTGCGTATTGTGAGAGTTCGACTTCTGATTCCTCTTCACGTGCTCTTTGGTCGGTTCTGTTCCACCACCGGGCCTTGAATATAACTTGCGAACTCGCCTCTGGCTATCAGTATCTCTACCTGTCTCCTTAAGTTCTTGTATTCGTTAGTCTGATGGCCAAAGTCAGAATGAAATGCATAATGCTTAGACTGATCCCTCTGTTCGAGGGGTTGTTTGATTGGTAAAGGTGGTCGGAACTTATCTTTATTTTCTTGGTACAGCCTTGCTAAGGTAACTTTCAATGGAGTAACCAGCTCTTCCTCTCTGGGCCTCTACTCAGATTTCCACGAGGAACGCTGTGGCTGAACCTGCTTTTGTCTGATCTTTGCTTTGGTTTTGTCCTCTGTTGATATGACGGATGTCTTCCAAGCGTTTACTGCCTCTTCTTCTTCCAAACGCACAAATCCATCAGCTCTTTCATTATGTTCATCTATAGTCTTCGGCGTGTTCACCACCAAGCTTGTGTGGAATGGAGTGCCACGAGTCATGGCCAGTATAAAAGCTTGAACCGCCGTAGAATGGTGACATTCAATCACCATACTCTTGGTAAGGTTAAACCTGGTTAGGAAAGCTTGGAGACGCTCATCCTCATGCTGCTTCATTGTGAATAGGTTCGAAATGTCCTTTGCTGGACGCTTATTTCCATAATATTGGCTTATGAACCGATCACACAAGCTTCGGAAACTATCCACTGAGCCCCTCGGCAGGTTCTTAAACCAATTGAGCACTAGTCCAGCTAGACTTGTAGGGAAGCACTTGCACATCAAGGAATCATTCTCAATGTTCAGAGCCATTTTTAACTGGATGTGATACACATGATCAATCGGATCGGTCGTTCCGTCGAACAGAATGAAAACGGGCATGGAAAATTTCCTCAGACTCGGAGCATTCAGAATTTCATCAGTGATTGGTGAATCAACCATTCGAGCTGCTGAACGGAGGGCTTCATTTTCCCTCTGGAACCCCGTGGTTGCTCTCTGATCTACAGATCTCCTCTCTTAGCCGCGATAGTCGAACGTCGCCATGGAAGGCCGATAAGTCGGATCGAATGATCTGTCCTCAACAAACTCTCTGTGCCATGGAGGTATAGCTTTGTGACGATCAAACTCCATTGCTTCACCTCGGCTGAGCATTTCTTGATGTGGATCAAAAGTCATGGCTTCATTTCGCCTGATCTATTCACGCCGTGGATCCACGTGAGTTGATCCTTCACGATCATCAATACGACGAGGATTTGGCGGTAAATCATTTGGCCGGACTTCCTCGCGGTGAAGATCTATCTGATTGTTCCCTACCTCCTCGCCGTGATGTGCCGCATCGGTACGTGCAACTTGTTCTCCTGCCGGGAGCGGTCTCGGAATCACCGGAACTTCTTGACGCTGCATTTCAGTCCTTAAATCTGCATTCTCTCTTCTGAGAGCTTCGATCATGCTCATCAACTCATCAAGCTTCATCTGCTAGACATTCTTTACCGTATTGGAGTTCTCACCCCCAGTCATCATTCCAGAACGGAGCAAAGGCATGAATCGTGAATTCTAATTTAGATCGGAGTCTCGCTGACGCGAATCACGGCAAATCTGAACTCAAATTTTACGAGTTTTGTTTTCCCTTCAATAGATCAGAGTTTTTCTGGCATTTGAGCTTCCCGGATCGAGCCGCGATAGAGTGAATCACGGCTGCGTAAACCTAACACCAATCTCTCAGAATCAATTAAGAATCCAGAATCTCTCAAGAGCCAACCGCAATCTCTTAGATCTGGACTAAACTTCTACAAATCAAGCTTCGTCGTCATCAATCAGTCGGAATCAACATGACGTTGATCGAACAAGAATCAACCTTCAACGTTTCCCACAGACGGCGCCAATTGAAGATGCAAGAGATTAACTCACCTTTCTCTCTCTAGAATTCTTACACTTCAACAAAATGAAAACTCCAAAAACCCTCCTTTTCTCTCTACTCGTATGGTCTATTTATAGACCATTACAAATATTCTAACCAACTTATTACATAGGGTTCTTATTCTAGGGCCTTCTTCCTTTTGGGCCTGACTTCATTATGTAAGCCTCAGACGTTGGGCCTAACTCTCAGTGTTGCGTTATGGGCTGAGTTCAACTGTTCGGTCCGATCCTTCTTTCGTGGGTGTTGGGCTCATTACGCTACCCTTTTTGCTTGGGCTCGGACCTACCATTCAACCTGATGCTTTACTCACGGGTCGGGTTTGGTCCAATCCATCTTTGATATCCTCAACAGTCTTACAGATAAAAGTGCCCAACTTTTATAACTGACTGCGAACAATGCCAAGGTACAAGAAACCGGTGAACCCAATTCTCCTGCGTGTAAATCTCATTTACACACTTAAGTCACCTATAATGCAACTTGAGGACAGTAATGCATCTCATGCAAAAATATGTAAAGTCCAATGCATGAATATCACATTTATAAATAAAATATCGAATTAATAATAATTAATTAGCTTGTAGGGCATATAATCCCAGCACATGGTGTAATACCCCTAATTTTAAAAGGATAGTCTCGGTATTTATTTATTTATTTTTATTATATTTTTTTTAATTGTTTAATTGATTATTTGACTAATTGTTTATGTGTTTAATTGAATTAAGTGTTACTTGATTAATTGGTTACTTATCTATGTGTTATTTGTATTTTGTCTAGGTGTTATTTGTATTATTTGTTTAATTAGATTGTGTGCTTAAATGATGTATTTGATTAATGTTAATTAATTGTAAATTAAATGTTTTCATTTCTTTTATTATTTTATTTTATTTTTCTTTTATGGTTATGGTTAGTGGTAATTGGCCAACCAATTGGATCCCATGGACTGCTTGGATAGGAGGTTGGATGGGTATGGATAATTATCCATGGATAGTTGTATATGTATATATATAGATATATATGTATATACATATATATAAAAAGGAAAGTAATTTATTAATATTATAGTAACTTTAGTATTAATAAATAATCTGATGTATATATTTTATATATTTATATAATAAAGATATACATATATTTTATACGTAACATGTTTTAAGTTACCTTTTTAATATTATGGTAACTTTAGTATAAATAAATAATCTGATGTATATATTTTATTTATTTAATGAGAATACAGATAGATTATATACTTAACATGTTTTAAGTTACCTTTTAATATTATGGTAACTTTAGTATTACTAAATAATCTAATGTATATATTTTATTTAATTAATAAGGATATACATAGATTATATACGTAACATATTTTAAGTTACCTTTTTAATATTTTCATTTTTATTTTTTTTTATTAAGTTGACTTGGATTGGGAAAGGAATAGGATTATTATTTAGCCTATAAATACACAACTATAGGTTGAAAAAGGAGTGAAAATATATCACGTAATATATTCTAGAGAGAGAGTTAGAGAGAGAAGGAGAAAGAGGGAGGAAGGAGGAGAAAACCCTTTAGAGAGAAGATCAAGGAAGAAGAAGTTTAACTTTCAATCCGAAAGTTTAAGGCAAGTTCTTCTTCTATCTCTTTCCCTTTGATTCGTGTTTCTGTACATGCCTAGGAAATTCCAGGATTTACTAAACACGTAAAATTAAATAATTATGCATGTTTAATTGGATTAAAGTATAGGTTTCTGTGAAATTGGGTCATATCTGTTCTTGTGTTATAAATTAAAAAATGCATGATTTTGATTTGATTTCTGGTGTGAATTTTTATATGTTTGAATTATGTATTTTTCATATATGTGGAATGATGGAACGTAGAAACATGCCTAGGATTCCTGAACATTAAATAGGGACTAGGTTTGGGTTTAAATAAATTTAAATACACTCAATCATAACGATGCTTGCTATTTAAATGTTTACACAAACGAATGGATTTAATCTTTTAAAATGCTTTAGCAATTGAGAATAAATGTGTAGGATGAATTGGATATGGAGAATGCTTATTTGACGATATAATAAAATATCATCATGTATAAGATTCAGTTTGTGTAGGACATATGATATATGAGCTTAAATAAATAATAAGTCATTCATATTCTGTGATAACTTGATATCATATTATCATAGTTATTTCTGGAATGTTTGATGTATTTCTTTAATTATTACATCAATTGTTGGATTGTGTGGTTTAATGCACCGGTATGGGACGGTGGCATTCTAGGGACGGATTAACTTATCAGTTAAGTCCTACCTATTTTATATAAGGGAATGGATTAACTAAAATGTTAAGTCCTACTTATATTTAAGTCAGGTCAGCTGAACAAGTTGAATGACTTATGGAGGATTAATTTATTATATAAGGGAATGGATTAACTAAAATGTTAAGTCCTACTTATATTCAAGTCAGGTCAGCTGAACACATGTTGAATGACTTATAGAGGATTAATTTATGCTGGATAGGATGGTTACTAGATTTTATATATATAAATATGGTGCCATGATATGAGCTTGAGTCTCAGGATCAATGGTTAGGGCGCGTATATCGCCAGGGATGTGTAGCTAGATATAGTGTAGTTGTGTACCCTGGTAGGTCTAGGTACTCATGCCCACTATATGTGCGTTTTGCATGTTGCCTACTATTCAGGTTGAGACAACCCTATAGTCTAGTGAGGTTCCTTTAGTGTGTATATATATATATACGGACTATTAGTTACTGTTGGATTGACTAGGATGTATACGTATATCGGATCTCTGCTTGGACTGTAGTAGAGTAGAACTTGTTTGTGGGCCTGACCCACCATTATTTTTCAGGTGTTCGTCACGAGTAGAGGTTGTTCGTGCTGAGCGGGGATCAGTCTACTTCATTCTTCCGATGCTACATAGGAGTTCCTTTATGATTCAGTTTCCTGTTTTAGATTACTGTCATTTGTTTAGTTTGGATTTTCTAGGGGTCCACACAGTATGGATTCCCGAGTTGTTTTTTGGAGGATCAGTTGTATCAGAAGAGTTTATTAATTAATGGAAATATATTATGAGGTTTATTATTAGATTATCATTTTAGTTTTTTGTCAGCATTTTATTTATTCTTCTTTATTCTTTTGTACTCTGTGTTTGTTTATTATCAATTTGTTTTGATATCCTCGGGTATTCGGGCGTGGGCCTGGCCAACCCGCATTCGGAAATTCGGGGGTATCACACATGGATCAATGGAAAACGATGGCAGTTCTCTTGCTGATGCTTTCTATACCAAAGGCTTCTTCATATGAAAGTACGGCTCAATCAGTAGTAGTGTTCATGTCCTGTGAACTTACAAAAGCAATTATCATATTTTTCAAAGCATCTCTCTATATAACATAATCATCTATATATGTATGCATATGATCACAGGTTATAGCTCCTACAACTCGCGCATAGACTGTGGAGCATCCACTCAAACCCCAGCAACCGATAATAGCGACATAACCTGGCAAACCGACGAAGGGTTAATTAAAACCGGAAAGAACAAAGTCCTCCCCACCAGCCAAACTCACTTTCAGATGAATACGCTACGCTACTTCCACAAAGGCCACAAAAACTGTTATACATTATACTTTTATGACGCGTATGAGAAGTACCTCTTTCGAGCGGGCTTTTACTATGGCAACTATGATGGCCTCTCAAATCCGCCAAGGTTTCGTCTAGAGATAGATGGGACCTTGTGGGCAAAAGTAACGACTTCCATAAATGAAGAGATGGTCTATTGTGAACTGCTTTACATAACCAAGAAGTCGCAAGCTAGGGTGTGCTTGATTCGTACCATGGACAATAATGTTCCCTTCATTTCTTCTCTTGAAGCTTATAAAATTTATGATGCTTATAATTGGATGGACAACACCACAGCTTTGTACCTTCATAGCGGGATCAACTACGGCGCAAATGCAAGTGTTGAGTAAGTAAATTAACTCGACTTCTAATCCTCACCTCCATTTAACTTGCATCCTTTGATCCATAAACTTAATGGTAAATATAAACATTACAAGAGCGCTAATTTTTGCTTCATACCTTTCAAAACAACAAACTAATACTACTTTTATCTTCTGTCATACTTTGAAGTGCATTTGGAAACTAATTACCTGGAAATCCCATATGAATAGTAATTAATTACTGGAGTGTATGGGCATGAAATTTACAGGCAGAATATAGATTTCCGTGCAGAACCCTACAATCGGATTTGGAAATCCAAAGAAATGTCCAATTATCTCAGCATTCAGGCCGACAGCATATATCAAATTTATTCATTTGCAGAAAATATGCCACCATGGCCAGTAATAGGATATGCGATCCAAGCACCAAGTCTAACAGACTCTATATATTTGTCCATTGATTTTTCCCCTCGAACAGCAGTACAAGCCTACTTTGTGCTCTATTTCTTGGACCCTGTTTCTCGGTTGGCACAAAATCAAACTAGCAGTGTTGAAATCTATATAGACAACAACAAAATGGCTGTTACTGATATTCCTAATATTGACATTTTGGATGAAGAATGCCGTGTGGTAACGCTGTTTTCTGTGCCGGTCAATGGTTCAGCCAATGTGACTATTTCTCCGGCAGAGGGCTCGACTTTGGCACCCCTCCTGAACGCCATGGAAGTGTTTTCTGCAATTGATGTGTCTGAGGGTGGACATTTGTTCAATTTCTCATTAGTACTATTTGTCATTTCTCTTCATTTGCTTGCTATACTTGTGAAATAAGCTTCTCTATTTGCTCTTGCATAGTTGTTTCAATCTATTAAGTTTTTATTTACGGAAAACAAATAAAATGTGAACTAATATACGAAGATTACATTAGCTTGTGGATTACTGCATTAAATTAAAGCAAGAAACTTCTATTCATATATTGTGATCTTAATATCAAATGCAAGAATTCTTCTTGGGCCTTTAAGGTACTACATGCTGATACTTTTATACTTACTTCACCAAGTTATTTCATGCTTAAAGAATCTGAAAATTTATATGTAAAGTCAGATATATGCAAATTGGATACTTGGAAGTTACTGCGTTTTCTATCTCAAACTAGAGAAACTTTCGAGCAATATCTGGAAATTTCTAATTTATTGTATTTCTAATAAAATGTTTGAAAGAAATTATAATAGTGAGCCTATTACATTTTAAATATATTGTTCTTATTTGAATAATTTACTAAGCAAGTAGTGAAAAATAATAATAATAATAATAAATAAAAATTAAAAAATAAAAATTAAACAGATGTTTATGATTCAATTAACCCAAGTCGATTAAAAGAATTCTATAAAATTTATTTAATCTACTTATTAAATAGATTCATCCATTGCAATTTCAGAAATAAGCATTTGGTTTGACAAATTCATATTCTCCTTTTATCTTTTGTAAAACTAATGAAACACAAATGTATACATGACAAGTATTTACAGTTTTTCTACCACAGGAGTTGTAGTAGTAGTACTTCCGAAGTAGAAGGTTGAGGGTTCAAGTCCCCCCATAGGGGCAAAGTGGGAGGGTGTAATGTTTTTCTGCTTAATATATGCTACTTTTTTTTTTTTTTTTTTTTTTTACCTTGACAAGAACTTTGCAAGCCTATATTGCTCCCACGAGAACTTCAACTCTCGACCTTCTACTTTGTAAAGTAAGAAATTAGCACTAGACTACAAATATTGGTGGTAGTGTGTTGTCATACTTCCGCACCTTGCTTTAAGTAATCAACTATAAGAGTATGAAGAGCCTAATGTAGTTAATCTAATGCAAAGAAAATTTTGTGCATGTATGATTAGTCTCCTCAATCAAGAGTATTATGAGTGCTTGAGTAAATTGCTCATCAAATTGTTACAGTTTGTATATATGCTCCTATTATCTAGTTTATATATTTTAAAATTTAGCTCGGTAATTATTATCCATCAATCAAGGCTATTAGGAGTGCTTGACTAGCTATTATCACAGTAGCTATATTATCAAACCACTCAGTTTTCTGAGAATAATTTTCTATTTTCAAACAATTAAAAATTAAAAAAATGTACAAAGGCTTGTTTGATTACTCTTTCTTTCAAAACTATTTTGGGAAAACTGAGTTTTGAAAAAGGTCTCTTTTCAAGAAAAAAAAAAAAAAAAAAAAAAAAAAACTGATTTTTTTAAAATTTACTACTATAGTTTTTTATTTTTTTAAATTTTTGAGAACTATTTTCATAAAACCGAATCCAAACCGGCCCTGAGCTTTTAGTACTGCCCTATGTGAGGAAAGAAGAAACTTTAATTTAAATGTTCCTTACAAAATTAGCAAGTCTTAATTAGGAAAAAATCTTACAATAGCCTCAATTCACTTTTTTGCATATATGAGGATTGTACGTCACCTTGTGCCTCTGTTCATTTAATTGGTTCTTTGTTTTCCTCTATACATATCAAATCTGTTAATTTTGATAATTATTTTTTCCCTACGGTCCCTCACAATATTTTTGGAAAAACTCAAACCTTTTATATTTTACTTTGAAAAAATATAATACCTTGGTGGTATATCAAATATGTTGATGAGAACGTAGGACTTTCTTATTTTGTATTACAACTAGTAATAAGAGCGCACTAAGAAGTTGATCAATATAATAACTGAAAAACCCGAACGCTGCATTTGGGAGCATCAAATTGGTGTTTTTAACTAAATTTCTTCAAATTCCATATCCAAACCACCGATTCGGTACTCCCAAACATGGCAGAACATGCAACAAACATCCAACGAAACTCACCTCAACCATTCCAAGCTTCAAGTTCTTTTGGAGGTGTAAGAAGAGGTCATTAACCCACTTAATTTTTGCTGATGACCTCATCCTTCTCTCACATGGAAGCTTGGACTAAGTTGTTTTCCACAATGCTCCTCTTCACCTCTCTCTCAGAACTTCACATCAACCAAACCAAAAGCTCTATTTTTAGTTGCTGGATAGACTCTCCTACTCAGCAACGCATATCTAATCTCCTATAGATTACCATTGGATCACTACCTATTCGGTATAGGGAGTGCCTATAGCTACAAGACTAAGAGCACATGACCGCAGGGCACTGGTTGAGACAATTACAAACAGGATTGTGCATTGGACAAGCAGGTCTATTTCCTATCTAGGAGGATTCAACTCATCCAATTCATTCTTATAAGCATGCAAATGTATGGACCAAAATATCCCGAATTTTTTGGACGGTATTTTTGGTAATTTATGTTGCCCTAGTGCGAGAGTATTTATTCATTCTGAACTCTTTTTATCGGCTGTTGTTTTTTATCATCGTACTGAAATCCCTGCAACCCTTGGATGTAGCCCTAATTTTGGGTGAACCAAGTAAAATCTATGTTCTTGTTGTGTGTGTGTGTTTTTGATCTATTTTTCAACTTAATTTCGCAACAATGTATTGGGCTAAAATGTTTATCCTCCCCAAATCTATGATAACTGATATCAATAGCCTTTGCATGAATTTCCTATGGTCAGGCAATGGTCTTAATAACAAGAAAGAAAAAGTGGCCGAAATGTGGAACTCCTCAACAAAGCCTCTATGCTAAGGCATTTACGGAATATGGTAGTAATTGATAACAAAAGTAGCTCATGGGCACAGTGGATTGAAGAATATCAAGTGAGAAATGGATACATATGGGAGTTGAAAATACCTCAAAAGTGCTCATACAATTGGAGAAACTTGATGCAGCTCAGGCCTGAACTTAAGCAATTAACTTGTCCATGCAAAGATAGGCAATGAGAATTCCTTTTCATTCTGGCATCACAATGCAGCAAATTCAGCACCAAATAGAGAACTCAGCAATTCCAACAGATTCAAAATTGAATGCATGGTTGACAGTAAGGGTGACAAAATGGGTCAGGAACCATCAACCCGCCCATATCCGTCCGTTATTTAGTGGTTATGGGTGAACCAAATTTAATTTGAGTGTCAAGATGGATTGGATAATTTTTAACTATTTAATTTGAGGGTCAAGATGGGTTGAATATGGTTAACCATATTTAACTCATATTTCACTCATCACATAATAAACAGACAACACACATCTATTCTTATATTGCACTCAACTTATTTCTCTTTAAAATTTTCACTCACAATCCTCTCTCTCTCTCTCTCTAAATTTGTCTCTCATCAATTCCCTCTTTCTAAGTTTCTCTCTCTATAAATTTCTTTTAAAAAAATTTAAAATTTTAAAAATAAATAAAAAATTTTAAAAATAAATAAATTTTTAAAAATTAAAAATAAAAATTTTTAAAAATAAGTAAAAAAATTTAAAAATTAAAAAAATTATAAAATTAAAAATTAAAAAAATTAAAAAATAATAATAATTATATATATATATAATTGTTGGGAATGAGCTCTTCACACATACAGATTTGAGAATATAATAAACTCCAAATTTCACTAAAAGTGGAATTAATTAAGTATCAATAATTAAACAGAAATGAAATGTTCCACTTCATTTGATATTAAAAAAAAAAAAAAAAAAAAAAAAAAAAAGATACCGCATACACAGATGCAACAACCAGGAACAATTGATCTTCAAGATATCGCTGCAACAGCACCACTTCATCACCTCCACCACCGCCGACACCTTCCTCACAACATCGGAGCCCCTCGCCGCCAGGATCCAGGCAGTCGTCTGGCGGAGCAGTTTTCAGTCTATTCCTTCGCCGCCGCTGGCACAGGCGGAGGCAGATTTCGATGGCGCAGAGAAGAGGGAAAGTGGTGCAGAGGAACGTGAGGAGGAGAGGCGAGCAGAGAGCAAGGAAGAGGCACCGTTTGCGGCAACTCCTTGGCCAAGACGTTAGGATCATCGCCGCCGATTTGATCGTCGCCGACGGAAGGTGGTGGTCGTCATCGTTGATGAGTAATTTTAAAATTTTTAAAAATAATTAAAAAAAATTAAAAAATAAAAATAAAATTATTAATAACAATTTTTTTTTTTTTTTTTTTTCATTTGATATATATATTTTAATTTATTTCTTTTATTAATATACAGACATACAATAATTAGTTAATAGTTCATATTTAAAGCTCCTATATCTTCATTATTAAAATTTCATTATTAATAAAGCTGTAAATATTTAATAACTAATTCTACATTTTTAGTTGATGATTCGTATTTATAACTCCTATCTCTCCATTACTAAATTTTCATTATTTTTTTGAAAGTATAAAAAAATTAAAAAATAATAATTAATGGGTTCACGGGTCATAACGGGTTGGTCCTGTCCATTTTCAACCGTCCATTTTCAACCCATTCTGAACGAATTAAATATGATTCTTGACCCATATTGATCCACTCATTTTTAACCCAACTCAAATCTGACCCAACCCGCCCATTTGCCCCCTAGTTAACAGGTAACACTTGGAACTTTTCACAAAGTACTCTAAAACATGATACCTGATGATCTTTGCCAGCTTCTGTGGCTGTCCCAAAAAGATAGTGCGGCTGCTCGGCGTGTGTGGGATTTTCCATCTTCGTTCATTCGCCCACCACCATGACCTCTAGACCTGTAGATTCAGGTGTCGCATTGGAATTGCTCAAAATGGCATGGTTCTACCAGAGAATGACCTAATTAATTGTTGCTGCAACGGTTATATGACGTCTGGGCCTGGTGTATATGGTTTCAACAGTAGACCTTGTTGGTGGTCCATGGACCAGACATTGAGAATTTTATAATATTGTTCTTGTTAGACCAATATTTCATTTATTGGTGTAACAGCCCATGAACCTTCATACAATGGCCCATTTACCTTTTGTACAGTTTTCTTTATATACACACAATTGCAAACTTTTTATAAATAAAGTAAAAATAAATAGAGCAGTTGTATAATAAGTTAGAATCAGTAAATATATAGTTGACCAATAAGATAACTAAAAGAACCGTACTAGAAAACATGAAACAATCAGCTTAGGCCTGTTTGGTTACGCTTTGAGTTTTGGTTTTTTGTTGTGGTTTTTAATTTTTTTTTTTAAAGAGGTAAATTATATTTTGACTTTTCACATTTTAAAATTTTTGAAAATTAGTTATCATTTCTTTCATGAGTCCCGCAACTTCATTAAATATTACTATTTTATTATTATTGAAAATGAGAATTAGAGAAATATTATTTTTTACCATTAGAGAAATGTTATTTTATTACTCATCAAAATATATATATATATATATATATATATATATATATTATTTTATTAATTTTCTATTATATACAGCATATATATGGATCTTATCCAATTTCCCCTCCCATAACCCCATCGGTCGACCCATCAAGCCGACCATCGTCGCCACCAGTTGCCCCACCGACCGAGACGAAACCTACTGCATATTCAACTCATCCAATGGCCTACAACTCATTTACTACTCCCATTTCTTAGGAAAAAACCGTACCCATAAACCCTTCACGCATGGTACTCATTCCCATCACTGTTGATCGGCATTTGATCGTCAATGATGCACTTGTTACTCCGACTATTTCAATATCACCAAACGTTTTCTGGTCTTCTAGTTCGCTTTCGATCCTAATTGCAACAATCCCCAATTCACCATTGTAGAAGCCACCATTGATGTGTACACAAGTAACCTCAATTTGTATTCTTCGCTAGAATCTATCTGGGACACCAAGGAATTCGATGTCCCCATGTTGGTGATTGTATGTTGCCTACAAATGTATGTCTTTGTGTACTTACGAGGACAGGACGAAGATAGCTGAGGGCATTTTCGGCATAAAGAGAGTAGCAAGGTGTGTATGGGGTGCCAGTCACGTCTTGACCTGAGGGGCATTTTCAGCATAAAATGATTAAACATAAGAACGTGACAAACACTGCTCCCTTTTGACGGCAGAGTAACATAAATAGGGGCAATGTGATAAAGTTTTATTTTAGTTTAGGGGTTTTTAAATTCTATTGGGATTTTATGCTCAATTTTAAAAGTAGATGAAGGTTTTGTGATTTTAATCCTTGATTGATTTGTTGTTCTCAAACTACCTATTTGTCATGCTCTACCCACGTGTAGGTAGGTTGTCACATATACGATGATTGTTTTCCAATTATCGCGAATGTTGGAGGGGACTTTGCAATGTTTTCCAACTATCGTGAATGTTGGGAAGGACTTTGTAATGTCTCTGCTTGACATAGGTAGAAAATAGATTCTAAAATCTTTCATAGTTGTGAGGAGTGTCGTGGAGTGGTGGAATACTATAGAAAAGTTATAGTAATGTGTGAAGTATAGAATATTTTAGAGAAATTGAAAGCGTTACTTAGAATAGTGCTCTAGAGAATAAATAATATTGTATCAGGTTGTTTATTAGGAGGATGACTCCAATATAAAGTAGGAGTTTCATTTGTAAGTAAGAATAAGGCTTTAGTGTGGTAGCATGGTTTGAATTTGGTTCTAGTGATAGATTAATTTTAAGTTAGTTGGAGTGCTAGATTTGTTGGAATGTGAGTAACACAATTTGAAATAAATGAGAGAAAATAAAATTAAAGAATGACCAATTTTAAATCATCTAATCAGTTGAAGATATATATAATTTTGTAAAGCAAATATCTACTTGAAATAATATAGGAAGACGACACTTCTCCCTTTTTATAAGAGAAAAAATTTGTCAAGCTGAAATATAGCAATGCAATTTAAATTACTCTTGTTTATACGTGTGCTTTCAAAATAAAATTCAAAAAAATTAGGTTTGGTTTTCTAAATTAAAAATATAGCTCTCACAAAATCTCTGAAATTTTAGTTCCAAAAACCAATACAAAACCTAGAGAGCAAAAGTGTTTATATAGATTTTTGAACTAATTGTACTTGAAAAATAAGAAATTTCCGTGCATGTATTGTCTTACAAAAATTGTAATATTCATGATATATATATATATATATATATATATATATATATATATATTTATTTATGTTAAAAGAAATTTTTCCCACTTCACTTTAAGTTATCATGTGGCAAATGGGATTACAGACCCATTTTTTGTTTCTCTTCTCTCTCGGCCAGTATTCTCTCTCTCCGCTTGCCTTTTTTTTTTTTCTTTTTCTTTTACAATTTCAACCTTTGATTAATTCCTCATTTCTTAGAATTTTTGGGTGCCGTTTGCGGGAAAAACGAAGAGCGTGGTGAGATCTTCACATAGATGTGAGCAATTTCAGCTTTGGAGCATCCTTGGATTTCGAAATTTAGGACACAAAATTGAGGGTTTTGCATTTAAGTGAGGTAGGGGCGTTTAATCTACAATCTCTTAGATTTTGGTAAATTATTTTTCATAATTTTTGTTTAATTTGTGTTATTTTTCATATATGTTATGTATTGTATATGAGATGTGTATATATATATGTTAGTGGTTATGTGATAAAGAACTAGGTTCAAGTGATGTTAAATTTCATGCATATTATTATGCTGAATTTTATGATTTTGAAGTATGATATAAATTTCTAGAATATTCCTATGAGGCATGTGAATTGTGAATATTTGACTTGTAAGGAATAAAAATTTCTTTATTGGCATAAAAAAAAATAAAAAAATTGATTTAAAAGAAATAAAACGATTTTGGGAAAGAATTTTGAAAAGGATTTTATGAAAAATTTGGCCGTCTAGGAGTTGACTAGGAACCGTGGCGTTAGTGAGGCCTAGAGGGGATTAGGGAGATCGCCATAGTGTGGTGGAGTTACTTGGGCCCCAAATGACGCCATAGAGTTGCCATGGGTCAGAGATAGTGGCCAATCCTCCTCTCGTGCTGCCATGGAGTTGCCATGGGACGGGTTCACTAACGGTTTGAAAATGTTGACGGAAATGGTTTTGAAAAATGGGGAGTGACATTGCATGGCATGACATATCATTACATGACAAATTCATTTGTTGTATCGAATTAATGATGTGATATCGTAGTTATATTTTTACTCCCGGCATGGTATGATTCCAATTTTCTTATTCCTATTCATTGTGTGGATTCACGGAGTCTCAAGAGGTGTGCCTTAGGCACTTCCTACTGAGCTTATGCTCACCCTTTCATTTTAATAATTTTTTTCAGGAAACGGGAAAGAAGTGGTAAATGACGTTCCACCACAGACCTAATTTGGATTAGAGGACTTTTTTGCTATTTTTGTATTAAGTCCCATATTTTTTTTGTAAAACCTTAGTTTGTTATATTCGGTATAGAGGTTTGTGGACTCTTGTTATTGTAATTATAATTATGGGCTGTAACTTTAGTATAAGTTGTCTAAACGTTGTAAGACATGTGCTTTAGATTTTAACCATATATTTTGGGACTGTAATTATGATAATTTGGATTAAACGGTATGTAGATGTTCCACCATGAGATGAACCATGTTGAGGTATAATGAACGGATGAATGGGATGCTAGTATATAAGTTGTATTGTGTGTTGGGATAGGTTGGATAAGTCTTGAAAGACCATTGCATTTTTTTCATTTGAGCAGATTGTGGTAGGCCCTTTTTAGGGGAGGTCATGCCGAAATTTTTTTAGTATTAATGGTATCAGTTTAGGGTCGTTACAAAAATCTAGCCAAAAAGATAAACCAATTTGAACAAGGATTGAAACTTACCTTTTTGGTCTACAAGAGCGCAACCAGTTACGTAGGGCGCGGCCTGTTCCACTTGGCCGGTGAGTTTCATTCTCTAAAATATATTTTGTAAAACACGGTAAAACCTAGGCGCACCCGGTCAGTTGTGGCAGTGAGATTTTCCTAACAAAATTTGGAAAACAAAATATTATCACTACCAAAATTCTCCAGAAGTAAAAATAATATGTTAACGTGTCATCAATTACATACCTTCTCTAATATGAT